ATGGGATCAGTTACATCTGCGTGATGGGGTGGTCTACCGAAGGGGCCCCTCAACTGATCCTGAAGACAAGTGGCAACTGTTCCTGCCAGAGAAGTATATATGATGATCATGGTCACTTAGGGCCTGAAAGGACTTTCAGAGATTTGTAAGAGATCATTTTTACAGACACTGCTTTCCAGAGCTGCCCCAATGGGCCACTTCCAAAAGTCAAAGGCCTACGGAGAGGGCAATGTAGTGACATCTTATGCCCGGACAGGGAAGTGTGTCTGGTGGTGACAGACCATTTCACTTGTCAAATGCCCAACCATTCCCTACAAAGGACCAACAAGCATCACTGCAGCCCAGGTATTAGTGGAAAGGTTCTTTGTGCACCATGGACTTCATCCAATCAAGGAGAGACTTTGAGGGCAGACAACTACATGACCTGCTAGGCATCCAGAAGTCAAGAAGGACGCAATACCCACCCTCAAGGAGATCCACAGGCAGAAAGGTTTAATCAAACCCTTCTGGCCATGCTGAGGACCATATCTATAGAGAAGAAGCTGTATTGGATCAGGTGGATCTTCACATGTGGTCCATTGCCTCTGGTGACACTGGGACGAACGACGACACTGGCTATTCCCCATATAGATGTATGTTCGGGAGGGAAGACCTCCTACCGGTGGATTTGGCCTTCACTGCCTCTCCAGATGGAGAATCAGCTGCAACTCACAGAGGCTATGAAGTACGGATCCGCAGAATCTAAAGACGACCTATGAGAGAGATCGGGAAGCTTCTGATGCCAGAAGTCAGGAGAACAAGAAGACGTATGACCTAGAGTTCTGGTCCATCATCTCAGCCAGGAGACTGCTGACCGGGGCGTTCCCAGCAATACATCGTCTCCTGGCCTCCCTGTGTACCAAATCATCCTGATGGGAGAACAGGACCTCTGAAGACTTCACAAAACCATATGCTACCTTAGAATGAAGCCACCAGGGTGCCTAGATATATTAAATATGGAGGAGGGGAGGGGTGGGTGCCTAGATATATACATGGAGGAGGGGAGGGGTTGGGTGCCTAGATATATAATATGGAGGAGGGGAGTGGGTGGGTGCCTAGATATATAACATGGAGGAGAGGGGAGGGTGGGTGCCTAGGATATATAACATGGAGGGGGAGGGGTGGGTGCCTAGATATATAACATGGAGGAGGGTGAGGGTGGGTGCCGTATGATATATAACATGGAGGAGGGGAGGGGTGGGTTGCCTAGATATATAACAATTGGAGGAGGGGAGGGGTGGGTGCCTAGATATATAACATGGAGGAGGGGAGGGGTGGGTGCCGTAGATATATAACATGAGGAGGAGGAGGGGTTGGGTGCCTAATATATAACATGGAGGAGGGGGAGGGGTGGGTGCCTAGATATATAACATGGAGGAGGGGAGGGGTGGGTGCCTAGAATATATAACATGGAGGAGGGGAAGGGGTGGGTGCCTGGGCGATATATAACATGGAGGAGGGGAGGGTTTCCGGGGTATATAACATGGAGGAAGGTGAGAGGGTGGGTGCCTAGATAATATAACAAGGAGGAGGGGAGGGGTGGGTGCCTAGATATATAACATGGAGGAGGGGAGAGGTGGGTTCAGGGATATATTACAGTGAAGGAAATGCGTATTTGTTTCCCTTACTGATGCCTGAATGTTCGCCCCCTCACACAGAAACGATCGGTCTAACAATGGAATGTTCAGCCCCTCACACAGAAATGATCGGTTCTAACAAATGGAAATGTTTATCGCCCCTCCACACAGAAACTTATTGAAATCGAGCATCTAATCCATGGAATGTTTCGCCCCTCACACAGAAAACGAATCGTCTTCTAACATGGAATGTTCGCCCCTCACACAGAAATGATTCGGTCCTAACAATTTGGTTTTGGAATTTCGCTCCCTCATGTGACAATCATCGTTTTCCACACTCACCCAGAAATGATACGGAGATCTAGCACAATGGAATGTTCCCCCTCACACAGAAATGATCGGTTCTAACAATGGAATGTGTTCGCCCCTCACACAGAAACGATGACGGTCACTAAACAATGGAATATGTTCGGTGTAACACTGAGAAGACAGAATACAACAACACAATTCAGCAGTAAATGCGTCTACACAAATGATGACGGATCTGCATGATATCATGAGGAAAGAATGATTTGATCCCCAAATCATTCAGCAGGATTTCTGGCTCCCAGGTGTCTCTCATACAGGTAACAAGCTGAGATTAGAAGCAGAACTCACTAAAGGTAGTGCTGCTAATCTCATTGTGTTACCTGTATAACAGACATCCAGTCCACAGGCCATCAACAACATCAGATTCCAAACTCTCCACATGGCAAAGACCAAAGAGCTGTCCAACGGATGTCAGGGACAAGATGGTGCTGACCTACACAAGGCTGGACTAGTGCTACCAAACTATGGCCAAGCAGCTTGGTGAGAAGGTGACAACAGTTGGTGCAATCATTCACAAATGGAAGAAACACAAAACAAAGTGTCAGTCTCCCTAGGTCTGGTACACCATGCAAGATCTCACCTCGTGGAGTGTCAATGATCATGAGAACAGCGAGGAATCATCTCCCAGAACTACACGTGAGGCACCTTGTCGATGATCTTCTCCAGGCAGCTGGAACCACAGTCACCAAGAAAACAATTGGTAACAAAACATACACTACGCCGACAAGGACTGAAAAAATCGCTGCAGTGCCCGCACGGTCCCTCTGGCTCAAGAAGGCCCATGTCAGCCAGCCCGGTCTGAAGTCTGCCACTGAAACATCTGAAATGATGCCGAGGAGCGGACTGGTGGGAAAGTGTTTGTGGTCAGAGGAGACCAAAATCCAGCTCTTTGGAATCAACTCAACTCGCCGTGTTTGGAGGAGGAGGATTGCTGCCTATGACCCCAAGACCACACCGTCCCAACTGTGAAACATTGGTGGTGAGAAAGAAACCATTCTGCTTTGGGGGTGTTTTTCTGGTAAGGGGACAGGACAACTAGCACCGCATCAAAGGGACGAAGATGGACGGGGCAATGTGACCCTCAAATCTTGGGTGAGAAACCTTCTTCCCTCAGCCAGGGCATTGAAAATGGGTGGTTGATGGGTGTTCCAGCATGACAATGACCACAAAACACGGCCAAGGCAACAAAAGGAGCGGCTCAAGAAGAAGCACATTAAGGTCCTGGAGTGGCCTGGCCAGTCTCCACACCTTCATGCCTGATGGAAAATCCTGGGGAGGGAGCTGAAATATCGAGTGCCAAACGTCATCCACCAAACCTTAATGACTTGGAGAGGATCTGCCAAGAGGAGTGGGCCAAAATCCTTCCTGAGATGGTTGTCGATGTGCGAGTAACCTGGGGGCCAACTTCCAGGAAACCGTCTGACCTCTCTGTGATGGCCAACAAGGGGATTGGCCACCAAGTACTAAGTCAGTTTTGTGAAGGGGATCCCAATCCTTCTTTCCCACATGAACATGCAGATCCGTTCATCATTTGTTAGAACGCATTTCTGCAGCTCGAATTTGTTGATGTATATCGTGTACTCACAGTGTTACTACACCCCGAACATTCCATTGTTAGACCGATCGTTTCTGTGTGCGGGGCGAACATTCCATATGTTAGACCAATCGTTTCTGTGTCTGAGGGGGCGAATATTCCATTGTATAGACCGATCAATTCTGTTAGCTGTGTAGCAGAGGGCGAACATTTCCATTGTTAGACGATATCGTTTCTGTGTGTGAGGGGCGAAACATTCCATTGTTAGACCGGATCGTTTCTGTAGTGAGTGGGTGCGAACATTCCATGGTTAGACCGATCGTTTCTTCAGTGTGTTGAGGGGCGAACATTCTATGTTAGACACGATCGTTTCTGTGTGAGGGGCGAACATTCTATGGCGTTAGAACCGATCGTTTTTTTTTTTTTTTATATTCTGTGTGAGGGCGAACATTCCATTGATTTGAGCGATCGTTTCTGTGTGAGGGGGCGAACATTCCATGTTAGACCGATCGTTTTGTGTGTGAGGGGCGAACAATTCCATTGTTAGACCGTTCATTTCTGTGTGAGGGGGAACATTCCATTGTTAGACCGATCGATTCTGTGTGAGGGGGGAACATTCCATTGTTAGACCCGATCATTTCTGTGTGAGGGGGCGAACATACCATGTCTCAGACCGATCAATTCTGTGTGAGGGGCGAAACATTACCATTGTTAGACCGATCATTTCTGTGTGAGGGGCGAACATTCCATTGTTAGACCGATACGTTTCTGTGTGAGGGGTTGAACATACATTGTTAGACCGATCATTCTGTGTGAGGGGAGAACATTCCATTGGTTTAGACCGATCGTTTCTGTGTGAGGGGCGAACATTCCATTGTTAGACCGATCGTTTCTGTGTGTGAGGGGTGAACATTCCATTTGTTAGACCGATCGTTTGTGGCGTATGAGGGGGCGAACATTCCATTGTTAGAACCGATCGTTTCTGTGTGAGGGGCGAACATTCCATTGTTAGACCGATCATTTCTGGGTTGAGGTGAGTGGAACATTCCATTGTTAGACCGATCGTTTCTGTGTGAGGGGTGAACATACAGCATCGGGGGGGGGCCAATACACATTTCCCTGCACTGTATCTGGTGATGGGAACACACTGTAGTTCCCGGTTGTATCTGAAGGGTCTTCATGTGACACGGAAGAGCCGTTATTTATACAGCGAGGAGACGGATCTCCATAAATTGCCGAGACGTTCCCGGGACATCGACTCCGGATGATTCCATTCGACGTGACAGCAATCTCCACATGTAATAATGAATAGCATTACCTCCAGATTACAGAAACAATTACACGTGTCCGTCCCGTGGGAACAGGCCCCCCCCCCTTCCCCCCCCCCCCCCGACAGACCCCCCCCCACCCCCCCCCCCCGCACCCCCACGCCCCAACCTCCCCCCCCTCACGTATCTTGTGATTCTCGGTGTTCCCAATCCCCTCCGTATTTTGTTGATTCAGGTGTTCCAATCCCCTCCGTATCATGTGATTCAGGTTGTCCCAATCCCCTCCGTATCATGTGATTCACGGTGTTCCTATCACCTTCCAAATCATGTGATTCTGTGTGTGCCCCGACTCCTTAGCAATGTGATTCGTTCCCAAGATCCACCTCCGTATGTGATTCAGGTGGTCCAATCCCCTCCGTATCATGTGGATTCAGGTGTTCCAATCCCCCCACCGTTCCAATTCATATCATGTGATTCAGTGGTGTTCCAATCCCCTCCGTATCATGTGATTCAGGTGTTCCAATCCCCTCCCATATCATGTGATTAGGTGTTATCCCCTCCGTATCATGTGATTCAGGTGTTCCCAATCCCCCCCCATCTCATGTGATTTCAGGTTGTTCCAATCCCCTCCATATCATGTGTGTGATTCAGGTGTTCCTAATCCCTCCAATCATGTGATTCAGCGTGTTCCAATTCCCCTCCCTATCATGTGATTCAGGTGTTCCAATCCCCTCCCCAATCATGTGATTCAGGTGTTCCAATCCCTCCCAATCATGTGATTCAGGTGTTCCAATCCCCTCCAATATCATGTGATTCAGGTGTTCCAATCCCCTCCATATTTATGTTGATTCACGGTGCTCCAATCCCTTCCCAATCATGTGATTCAGGTGCTCCAATCCCCTCCATATCATGTGATCCAGGTGTTCCAATCCCCTCCATATTATGTGATTCAGGTGTTCCAATCCCCCTCCATATCATGTGATTCAGGTGTTCCAATCCCCTCCCTATCATGTGATTCAGGTGCTCCCAATTCCCCTCCATATCATGTGATTCAGGTGTTCCAATCCCCTCCATTTCATGTTGATTCAGGTGCTCCAATCCCCTCCCTATCATGTGATTCAGGTGTTCCAATCCCCCTCCATATCATGTGAATTCAGGTGTTCCAATCCCCTCCATGGACACAGGTGTGTATACAATCAAGCCCCCTAGGCATGCAGACGGCTTCTACAAACATTGGTGAAAGAATGGGTCGCTCTCAGGAGCTCAGTGACTCCAAGCGTGGTCCCGTGATAGGTGGCCACCTGGGCAATAAGTCCATCCATGACATTTCCTGGCTACTAAATATATTCCACGCACAAACTGTTAGTGGGATTATAACAAAGTGGAAGCAACTGGGAAAAAACAGCCACTCAGCCACCAAGTGGTAGGCCACGTCACATGACAGGGCGGGTGTGGCTGGCGTCCAGCGCATGCTGAAGCGCACAGTGGCGCAGAAGTCGCCAAACTGTCTGCAGAGTCAATAGATAAATGACCTCCAAACTTGGTGTGGCCTTTCAGATGAGCCCCAACAACAGTGCGTTAGAGAGCTTTCATGGAAAGGGTTTCCATGGCCCCGAGCCAGCTGCATCTCAAGCCTTCCATCACCAAGTGCAATGCAAAGCTTGTCGGATGCCGTGGATCTTGTAAAGCACACTCGCCACTGAACTCTAGAGCAGCTGCATCCAAGCCTTTCCATCACCAAGTGCAATGCAAAGCGTCGGAATGCCGTGGTTGTAAAGCACGCCGCCACTGGACTCTAGAGCAGAGGAGACGTGTTCTTTGGAGGGACCAATCACTTCTTCTGTCTGGCAATTCAATGGGACGTGTCTGGGTTTGGCGGTGGCCAGTGGTAATTGTTGCCCACAGTGTTGGTTGGTGAGGGGGGGATTATGGTTGGGGGTTGCTCCTCAGGGGTTGGGCTTGGCCCCCTAGTTCCAGTAAAGAGAATACTCTTAAGGTGACATTATTGGACAATTTCATGCCCCCACTTTGTGTGGGAGCAGTTTGGGGATGGCCCCTTCCTGTTCCAACATGACTGCCCCCCAGTGCACAAAGCAAGGTCCATAAAGACATTGGAGGAGCCAGTTTGGGGTGGAGGAACTTGACTGTCCTGCACAGAGTCCTGACCTCTCAACCCCATAGAGCACCTTTGGGATGAATTAGAGCGGAGACTGCGAGCCAGGCCTCCTCCCCGACATCAGTGCCCCTCCCCCGACATCAGTGCCTCCTCCCCCGACATCAGTGCCTGACCCTGACAAATGTGCTTCTGGAAGAATGGTCCAACCTTCCCATAGACACCCTCCTAAAACCTTGTGGACGGCCTTCCCAGAAGAGTTGCAAAGCTGCTAAAGGGGATGGGGCCAACTCAATATTGGACCCTACGGACTAAGACTGGCCGGGGCCCATTAAAGGTCATGTGTGTGGAAAGGGCGGGCACAACTCAATTATTCGAACCTAACCCTACTGGGGACTAAGACTGGGGGGGCCATTAAAGGTCATGGTGTGTGGAAAGGCGGGGCTCAACTTGGTGCAATATTGGACAACTACTTGGGCTATATACAGTATAGACTGGGGGCGGGGACAATAAAGGTCAATATAAGTGTGGATTCGGGGGGGGCGGGACCAAGCCGATACTTAGGGTAATATGAGTGTATATGACAGGGGGGGTCAGGGGGACAATACTTTGGGGCAATATAGTGTATATACTTTAGGAGGGTGGGCGGGGGCCCCCCCCCCAATACTTGGGGCATTATATGGTGTATATACAGGGGGGGGCGGGGGAACAATACTTGGGGCCAAAATATGGTGTATATTCACATGGGGGGCGGGGACAATACTTGGTGGCAATTATAGTGTATATACGGGGGGGGGGGACAATACTTGGGGTTCAATATAGTGTATATACGGGGGGGCGGGGACAATACTTGGGGGCAATATAGTGTATATACGGGGGGGCGGGGGGACAATACTTGCGGGGTAATATGTGTATATACCGGGGGGGTTGCAGGGGGGGGGACAATACTTGGGGCAATATAGTGTATATACGGGGGGGCAACCGTGGGGGACAATACTTTGGGGCAATATAGTGATATATATGGGGGGGGCGGGGGGACAATACTTGGGGCAATATAGTGTTATATACGGGGGGGGCCAATAAACGGGGACAATACTTGGGGCAATAAATTATCGGTTGTATATACGGGGGGGCGGGGACAATACACTTGGTGGCAATATAGTGAAATATACTAAATTAATATAGAAAAATCAAAACAAAAGGGTGGGGCACCTCCGATTAACAATACTTGGGGCTAAATCTAAATAACGGTGTATATACGGGGGGGGGGACAATACAATGGGGTAATAAAGTGTAATACTGGGGGGGGCAAATATTGTGGCAATAATAGTGTAATACAAATAATATAAATAATTAATAACGGGGACAATACTTGGGGGCAATAAATAGTATCAAAATATATTGGGGAAACATAATTGGGGGACATAAATGGGGACAACTTTATCAGTGTATATACGGGGAAAACGGGGACGAGGAATACTTGGAAAATAACTACTAGACAAAATTATAACGGAATGTGGGGGGGGGAACAATACTTGGGGCAATATAGTGAATATAACGGGGGAGGACAAATACTTGGAAGCAATATAGCTGTATATAAAAACTATCAACTAAAAGGGGAATGTACTTGGAGGTTAAAATAGTGAAATATAACTGGGGCAATTAAGGGAAAAACAATGGGCGCCGGGGGAATAATTGGGGGGGGACAATACTTGGGGGCATTTAGTGTATATTACAACGGGGAGTGACAATAATTAAATAAATTAGTGTATAACTTAAAAAAGGTATACTTAAAATTAAGTATATACTTAACATATATATCAATCGAAAAAATAAAAATAATAAAAACAATAATATGGGGACTTAAAATAAATTATACGGTAAAATAATACTTTAGACGTAGTTATATCGGGGGGTAAAGTGGGAAAAAAAACAGGTGTATTACAGGGGAACAATTAAATGGAATTATAATTATACGGATCGGGGGGGGGAAATACTTAATTAAAAAAGATATTAATAGAAAATTGACAAATAATATAAATATTTTTAAATAAACAATAATTTTAATAAAAATTAGTTTATATAATATCTAAAAATAAAAAACTTGGAGTAATATCTATAAAAGGCCGCAATATAACAAAATAAATTAAAATACGGGAAACAATACTTGGGGCAATATTATACTATTATAATAAATAAAAATTAAAAAGAAATAAACACAATTACTTGGATAACAAAAAATAACATGTAATTAAATGGCGGGCGGGGACAATACTATGAGGGCAATATAAAAAAATATACGTGGGGTGGGAAAAAAATAAAAAATAAATAACTTGGGGCAATTATAGTGTATATACGGGGGGGGGGACAATACTTGGGGCAATATAAAATATATAAAAAAAAAATTATACAATAAAAAATAAATTTATAAATAAAAAAAAAATACTAAAAATATAAAACAATAACCAAACATTAAGGTTTTGGGGCAATATAAAATAATATAAAAAAACGGGGGGGCCTACGGGGACTCATACTTAATTGGCAATATTAGTGTAAACATTATAAAATATAAAAATAAATATTATGGCGGGACAAATACTTAAATTTTATAATTGGGGCAATATGTATATATACGGGGGAAAAAATTATCTATAAATACATAAATGGGGCAATATAAGTATAATATAATATATAGCAATGTATAATAATATAAAACGGAAAAAAAATAAAACAAAATATTATTATAAAAAAAATAAAATATTTGTATTAAATATAGAAATTAACTCGATACTTTGGGGCAAAAATAATAATTGTAAAAATATTATAATAATATACGGGGTAAATTATAAAGCCTTTATATTAACTTAATAAATTAATAAATAAGGGGACAATAACTTGGCAAATACTAATAATATAATACTTTAATACTAAATACAAAATAAAGACAAATAAAAAAAACTGCTTAAAAATCTTGTGATTTGGCCCCAGAATAAAAAAACTCTGTCTAAGTTCTATGTTTACCTTATATAATAATTAATTCACTAAAGATAATAAAGATATAATCTAAAGACGGGAAATCTCTGAAAAAATATATGGCAATCCTGTATTGGAAAATTAAATAAATTTCTCCCCAAACACCGCCCGTTCCTCTTCCAATATTCAGAATGAGGCCGAGATTAAGACCCACAACGTGGCCATCTAGATAATCATTCATTACCATTTTAAAAGCCCATGAACATTATTTTTATATTATTATTATATATTATATTATCATTATTATTAATTAACATAATATTTATTAAATCTTTTATAATTGCTTATATATTTACATTACAAGGGTATACTTTAAATAATAAAACTATATATTTAAAATTTTTAATAAAAAAATTAATTATTAATACTCAAAAAAAATACTCGAGGGCCAATATAAAAAAAATTATTTTAATTTATATTATTTTAAGGGAGTCGGTTTTAATATTAAAAACATAAAGGATTTAATATAAGCATTTTAACAAAATTTTAAAACAAAAATATTAGGATAATAATATAAATAATAAAAAAAAATAAAATTTATAAATTATTTTAATTAAAAAAAAGAAAATTTAATAAAATATTTTTATTAAAAGTTTAAAATGCAAAATTTTATATATATGATAAATCCTAATTATAATATATTAAAATTTTTTTATTGACAAATTATTTTTCTTATTAAATAATTAGGTTCTTTACATAAATTTAGTTTAAAATAATAAGGCCATTAAAAAAATATAATAAAATACTTAATTTTCTCCTATATTAAAATAAAAATTAATTAATTTTTTTAAAAAAATAAAAAAATATTTTTATATTTCCAAATAAAAAACTTTAATATCTTTTTTATATTTTTAAAAAAAATTTCCATAAAAACAATATTACTCCTTTAATTTTTAATATTGAAATTATAAAAAATTTAAACTTTGTTTTTTTAATTTCCAAATAAAATAAATAATAGAATAAAGTTATAACGTTTAAAATAAAAATAAATATTAAATTAAATATAATTTTAAAACCCATAAAACATGATAAAAATAAACATAATAAAAATAATAATTTTTAAATAAAATACCCTTAAATAAAAATTAAAATAAATTAATAAAAAAAATAATATTGAAAATTATAAAAAAAAATATTTTTTTATAATATTCATTTAATTAAAAAAATTAATTTAATTAAAAAATTTTATATTAACATACTTATTTAATATCCTCCTTATAATATAATTAGAGTATATAAAAAATAAAATATTCTTTGAAATATACGCTA